TAATGTTTTATGTACGTTCTATAATGTTTTATATTTTCCAAGAGTAAGAAAAAATGGAAGATAGCAGCACTATTAAGACCAAGGACTTTGAGACCGGGAGAAGTGCAGAGGAGCAGACAGACAGAGTTCGGTCGAAGCCTCTGAAGATGAATTTTTAGAGTCTGGATTTGAAAGGGATCGGGAAGGCGACTCTCGCGATTTCCTTGGGGACAACATTCCAGAGCTCTGGGGCGCTGCTTCATATCGGAAGTCTAAGTTAGATAATAGCAAATTTTGTAACAGATCGTTAATTGTCATTACATTTTCTTAAAGTTATTAGAGTAAAAAGGAAAATAGTAAGTAGCAGGCCTAAATTCTTGATGAGGTGTGAAACCTCTTACTTTGCTTATACATTTACACATTTAAATATAAATATAAAATATAAAATCCAGTTTTTTATGTTCCCGTGATATTGACGCGCTCAGCGTTTTAAACAACCGTAACCGTCGCCAGGAAAAACGGACTTTGAACAAGAGGATGGTTATCCGGAAAACTATTTTGATTCAAATAGAAATTGAGTTGAAGAAGCTGGGTTTTTCCGTCTTAAACAACGAAAAAGATCGAGGTCGGTTTGATGGCATCTTCTTGTATGTAACTTTTCTTATACTCTTGAATCAAATTCATTTTTGTAGATTTGCTCCTACTTTTAAAGGCTGAAATGTGGGCAATGTAGAAGACTTTTAAACCGAATTGTTGTCATAGCCGCGTACCATAAACCCAGCACAACGTGTTTTCCGTGTGTAGCCATCAATCTTCAATAAATCTTAGGCATATTATTAATTAGTAATACAAATATTGAAATAAGTAATGGAAGAGGTGTGTAGTGTGAATCCGCGCGCTCGAGAAAATTAATTGTTAATCTATTTACAATAAAAATAAAAAAGAAATGCCTATTTTAATCAACATAATGGAGTAGTTTTAAGTAAATACATATGGTCGACAAATGTATCATTCGTGATAATTCAAGGAGTGCACAATTCGTTAATGGGTAATTAGAGAATCGGTAAGGAAGGATTTTCAGAATAATCTGCTCCTTGTTCTTCCAAAATAAGGTTAATTTAAAATATTTATTTGACCACTAACACCTAAAACTTGGACAACGTGAGTTTGATTTATATATATATAATATAGAACCTTTTCTTTCATAACGCTTTGATATTGGATGCTCCTTCGCTGTACTGTACCTTATCGGTTTTCAGCAGATAATTCGAAATGTCCCGCATAAATAGAATATTACATTCTTAATTTGTTCGCATTAATAACGGCGTGTCGCTAAATTTCGTGAAACGTATTCTCGCATATTTTAAAACACACAATTGTTAACTATTGTTAACAATGCTTTTAATTGACATATTTATATATATTATGAATAATATATTTAATAATGTCTTCCCTGCTATTATCACTATGTCTGAAGTTGCATTTCTAGACATTTTACTAATATTTCTAATATTGTTCATTTATATAATGGAAACGTATTTTACATTATGGCTAATATAGCAATTGAATTAAGTTACCAGATACTTACAGTATAGTTGCAAATCACTGTAATTTGTTATTGTACAGTGCTAAAATGAAAAAAAAAAATAGAATCTGAAAACTATTGTTTAAATAAACTGTAGTTTTACTATTGTTTACTATGTCTAGTATTATTTATTATCTGCAGTGCAAACAATAGATACTCGAACTGTTTTTCCTTAATTGGCTAAATTCGCATAAACCTTGTGTGATGAATGACATTTTAAATTCATACCACGTTAGCGGGCATCCTTGAACAAGAATTAACTTTCGTGTTTTAAAAAGCCTTTTTAGAATCGTGGGGCATTGATTTCATGGCTCTGTTTTTAATAACCATACACATTTCAAAGTAAGCGAAAGTTTAACAAAAATAACTTTTTCTTTCATTATGAGGGCACCAGTTTATTGTGTTTCTCTAGGGGGAAAATCTAGATTTTGTAGAAGCAAAAATAAAATAGAATTAAGTTAAAATATGTTTGAATCAAGTATTATGCTGAAGTACATTTAATTGTTGATTTTCATTTTTTTTGGAACACATTTCATTTTATTGAGGTTTATTGAAAGTTGATCTATCCTACAATGCCAGAGGTGTGTATATAGGCAGTAAACTATATAGTACATTTCCCTGTTCCTGTTAGCGTGCAATCGCTCTTTAGATTTGCTTTCAAATGCACATGGACTGTGTTTGGACTGTGCAGTGCATTGTGAAAACATGTTAAAATAATTAAGAACATCATCGTGCTGACGTCAGTTTTGAAAAGAAGCAGAATCACTTCCAAAATGGTTAAAATCTTTTGTACTGAAGCCCAGAATGACTGGGTTTCCTTTAAGCGGCTGCTCTAATCTTATAAATGGTGATCACTTGGGTCCAAACAATGTCATTCAAGATGACGTGTTTTATAGAGGAGCTCTGTCATTTTAAAGTCAGAAACTGTTACTTGCTGGGGTTAATGAGAGCAGAAATGAAAGCGAGTCAATGTGTAGAAACAGTTCTCCGAATTGATCAGTGCCTGGGTCAATACATTAGTCATGAACATGCCTCCTGTAGCCATAGTAGTGTCTGCCTCAGTGCTGTGAGTCTGCTCAGTCTGTGCAGTAAGGCACTGCAGTCCCCTGACTGTGTCCCATTCCGGCCAGTTTCCTATACTCCTGTAACGCTCATTACAGTGCTGGTCGTTGACATTTGCAAAGCAGCACTGATGTGTAAATACACAGGCAAATTAAACCTCCTGCCTTGTTTGCATCCTTGCACTTCTTGTGTACTCTACTGGAGCACCTCGGCGCTGAGAGACGGCGGATAAAAAGGAGAAACTCTCACATGCAATCTTGCCTCCCACTTCCGCTGTCTGCTGGTATGGAGGGAAAATGCAGATGACTGCCTGTTTGATGTTGAGCAAGTGACACTCTGCAGAGCTCGTGGGCTGCTGGTGGGTGTGCAGGAGGAGGCATGCGGGTGAATGAGCTGAGCTGAAGAGCACCGGTTAGCTCTACCTCTCCACGTGTGAGAATGTCGCGTGTCAGTAAGGCTTCCTGCAGGAACAGTATCGGAAATGGAGAGGAGGGTCTACAGGATTTCTGTTGGCCCACAGGCCTGTTCTTAGGGCCCATGTCCGGGCCGCAGGAGAGGCAGCAGTTAAACGCAGAGTGAAAGCATGTTCTGTTAAAGCAGCCCTAATACTGAAGCTGGTCGTCCGGGGATGAGCTGAAATCAGATTTCTTCCAGCCCTGTGTTTCATTACCCTTTTTTCCCAAATATATTTCTAGGAGAATGTTTCCTGCCATGAGAGTAAAAATCCTGGGCTTGGATCCACATCAGCAGTACTACATTGCTATGGACATAGTACCCGTGGACAACAAAAGATATAGGTAATCCTGTTCTTTCCCTTTCGCTCAAGCACATTCGCTGCCGATCTAGTAGTCATTTAAGTATTTCAGCAATCAGCACAGTCATAATAATGACTGCTTTCATTCCAATCTTGGGGATCTGCAACAAGCACCCAGCCCAGTTCTTGGAGCCAAAACTCCGGCTTCTTTTCAAGAAACAGCTGGACGAGATCCTCAGATCAATTAATTACTAGAACCCAAACAAGCGAAACAGGCTGCACGGCTTCCTCTTGTTTATAACCTCTCTGATGTTCTCCTGCTCCCCTTAAGTCTCTTAACCCAGACTCCTGGTACGTGTGAAAAAGATGTGCTTTTCTGCCAGAAGCCCATTTCACTGTTTACTGATTATAAAACTTAGTTGAACTTAGTAGCGGCAATACTACAGCACTTTAATGCCTTTTAAAAGCGACTGTGTATTCACACAATTGCTATTCAGCTACAGTACGTTAGTAATAATAATTCTTTACACGTATATAGCGCTTTTCTGGACTCTCCACTCAAAGCACTTTACAGGTAATGAGGAATCCCACTACCACCACCAGTGTGCAGCCCCACCTGGATGATGCTCCAGTCCTCTCCCCTCACTCCAGCTCTCAGTGGGGAGGAGAGCAGAGTGATGGAGCCAGTTCGTAGTTAGCAGATGCACAGTGCAAGCATATGATGTAATTTAATCATGTGAGAACCTCTCGTAGAACTGTGATTCCTGCCCAGTACCTTTCCTGTAGTTTATTTTGAAGCAGAGATGCGTCTGTTTCAAGACTCCAAGAAACAGACGTGCACATTCGCACCCCTTGTCCACTGACACTGCCGCCAGGAGCTCAGAGAGCACCGCGCGGACTCGGGCGCTTCTGCACGTGCTCCTGGGTGCTCTCCCACGAGCCTGGCATGTGCCTGCTGCACACACGAACGAGCTCACACAGCAGGGACTGGCAGCGCTGCGAGACGGGGGGACCTGCCGACACACTGCTCGGGCGGAGATGCATGTGTGTGGACCAAGAGCGGGAGGAGGTGGGGGGCCATCTGTCCAGGATTGTGTCACACAAGCCCGGATCTTTATTGATTGTGCTTGTGCCAGATGGCAGATTTATGAAAGATGAAAGAGACTAATCAAATTTCCAGTTCTGTTTCAGCTTAGGTCTCTCCTTTAACACTTTCCCTGCTACTCAGCCCATAACCCTAAACAGAACTTCACACAGGAAATTATAGAAATGCCTTGAATTCTCCGCAGGGGAGCGTTTAATACTTGTAAGCAATAACAAAAGGTGAAATGAGAGTTTTGTCAATTTGACCATTTAGTGTCAATTTTGGCAGAGGGGCGAAGCTAAGCACTTTCAACTGCTAGCATGGCCAGAACTAAAGTCAAACAGCTGCTCCTCTGCTAGCAGCAATATCTCATTCTTGCAATTTGCTGGAGGAATGCTTTGTTTTGGGAGGGGCAGAACGTACTGATCGTTATATGCATTTTCAGAATTCGGAAAGTGAATAAAATCCTATTTTTGCAAAAGCTATGGTGGAAGTGAATTAAGAATACAATTTTTAACAGTTCCCAAATGCTAAAAAAATTACACACACTGGTTTTTCAAGGTCTGCAGGAATGCCAGTAAAGCATACATGAGTAATCTTACTCTGTATGTAAGCTGTCATCCCAGTTTCTTTCTTATGTGTTATATTCTTGAATACTTGTGCAGGGTTTACATTTCTGCAACTCAGGTTTTGAATAATTTTTAAATGAATCCATGTGACGTGATTTGTTTCCAGTATGATCATTCCTGAGAGTGACAAAATATCGTTATTTTAAGAAACAAAAACTTAAAAACTTTTACTAAAGAAATATTTTAGCACTGCCGTGAACTCAAACCTTTATGTCGGCCAGGTGTTGTGTTAGAAAAAAAAAATCAAACAAAAAAGTTATTAGTCTTGCTGTGGAAGTAGAAAAGGTAATACCCGAATCCTTCCCTCACTCGAAAAAGGTCGTTTATCAATGCAGCTCTTTAACACTCACAGTACATACTTCGTGACCGCTGTTGCCAAGCACTGCAGACTGGTAAAAATAAAACGGACCTTTGAGTCCTGCTTGTGAAAACTGAGGTTCCCCCAGTGCCCATGACAGAGGCTGGGGACGCTGGCCCGGTGTGGACCCTGCTTTGTGCACATCCCACTGTCCCACTGTCCTGCAGTCCTCCAGTCCCACTGTCCTACTGTCCCGCAGTCCTCCAGTCCTCCAGTCCCACTGTCCCACTGTCCCGCAGTCCCTCAGTCTCATTGTCCCCAAGTCCCCCAGTTCCTCAGTCCCACTGTCCCACTGTCCCCAGTCCCCCTGTCCCACACTGTCCCACTGTCCCACTATCCCCCGGTCCCCCAGTCCCCCAATTCCCCAGTCCTACTGTCCCACTGTCCCCCAGTCCCCTAGTCCTACTGTCCCACTGTCCCCCTGTCCCCCTGTCCCCCAGTCCTACTGTCCCAATGTCTCACAGTCCCACTGTCCCCCAGTCCCCCAGTCCTACTGTCCTACTGTCCCAATGTCCCACAGTCCCACACACAGGTACTCGGTGGTACAGCATGTGGGGAGCTGCTCTCTCCAGGGGTGAAGCAGCAGCAAGGATGTGAGCACAGACAAGAGGGGCTTCCCTGCGGTTCCTCTGTTAACGGCCGTGTTCATCTTTCTGGGCTCCAGGTACGTGTATCACAGCTCCAAGTGGATGGTGGCGGGGAACGCGGACTCCCCAGTCCCCCCGCGTGTCTACATTCACCCCGACTCCCTGGCCTCCGGTGACACCTGGATGAGGCAGGTGGTGAGCTTCGACAAGCTGAAGCTCACCAACAACGAGCTGGACGACCAGGGACACGTGAGTGAGCGCGCGCCGGCTCTTGTTCAGGACGTGCACGCTCAGACATCGCAGGGCCCGGCCCGCGGGAGCGCTAGGCCCGGCTTCTCTCAGACGAGGGCTTGCCGAGCTCCACTGAACTGCAAACACGAACACGGAAGCTTTAACGAGTTTAATAATGGTTTGTCTGCCCGTCTCTCTGAACCTGTCTACTTACGAGTTCTGTGCTGTACTGTGCATTGGTATGAAGTGGCTCTGAAGGGTTAAGTAAGGATATGCTATTAGGTCCACCATAACAACAGACTGCCTGTCTGCCAGGAAACGAAATGTGTGCTCCAATCAATTTGACACATACTGTATATCCTTTACATTCCTAATGTTGTTATTGAATATTCCCTGCTTTTATTGAATGCGTTGGGTATCAGTGTTGCTTGCATTAGTTCCCTACCCCCCTGTGCAGTTTATATAAATTGGCGTGAAAGATGGAAAGAAATGTATTGAGTGTCCCCACTAAATAACACTCCATATTTATAAAGAGAAACTGTAATTCATTGCCTTTAAGAAATTAGATCTTCGTCAGAAGGGTTTTACTGACAAGAAACAGAGGGGTGGGTTTGAAAACTTGTTTTATCGATATCATTTTACTTTAATTCTCTTCTTGGCTATTTCTTTCTAAACCGTGAATGTTTTGGTCCTGTGTTTTCGAAAAAAAGGACTGCGGTCAGATTTGAAAACTTGAACGGATTGCCATTGATCTTTAATAATAACAACATCAAGAACTCACAATTATCGCAAAGGAACCCGTGATGCTTCGCATACAGAAGGAGCTACACAGCAGAGTCTGTGGAGAAGGGAGAAATGGCTTTGAGGAGAGTCCGATTTCTTGATTGAGTGAGGACATGAGGTTTAACACTTCTGTTAGCATGAGCAGTGCCATGGGATCTCTGATGGCCACGCTGTGGGGCCCTTGGTTTATCATGTCATGCAAAGGATAGTATTTCCTACTGCAGTGTGTCTCCAGACACATCACCGAGGCACTGACTGAG